GGAAGCTTACCGGCTGAAGTCGCGACAACAGATCCTGGTTTTTGAGGACCTAGTTTATTACATTCTTTTTGTATAGAGGGACCACCGGCTTTGGCAATAGCGGCTCCCACTCCTCCTCCAAAAGATACGTTAAGACTTGGGTTTGATATTGTCACTATAGCATCTGTKGTTTCTTTAGTGATATCTCCGGACACGATTTCCAAACGAACAGAGCCAATATATGAAGAAGAACCCGGGACGTCTTCTTGCGAAATTGCCACAAAGCTTTCAATAGGCTCTCTGGAAGTGAAGCTCTGGTCAAACAATTCGTTTTCTTCATTTTTTGAGACGTAGCTTCGTCGCTTGCCCTTTGCCACCTTGGGCTTCCTGCTTTTAAGTTCGTCTTGAAAGGCTTGTATAGTAGGTTGATCTTTATGGAAAAGCACTAAATGAATTTCATTCAAAGGGCTTTGAGGATTTTTACTCTTAAAAGCGTCTGCTTCTTCGAAGAAAGCTCTGGCAACAACGWCTCTAGGAAAGGCAAGGTTTCCTGTTCCAATGGCTGGAAATGCGATGCTGGAAAATCCCCTCTTGTCYGCTTCTTTAAAACAGGATTGGATCAGAGAACGCAGGATCTGAATTAACCGAGGAAAAAGAAAAGGAAAAGGTATGATCATATAATTAATTAAAAAACAAGAACAACATAATTTCAGGTCCTCAATTTAAAAACCTTTGATCTCTCACTATCAAACATTTACTCCGGTCACGAATTCTTTTTAAATCATAATTTTTATAGTACATACCGGCTCCCCTTGACCATTTTGCCAATCCCCTGCAACGACGTGGAATACATTTTTGCATCCAAGATTGTACCCATCCGTAACGAGAACTTGACCAGCTGACAAAGACCCATTGGCTTTACATTCTTGCTGTAATTGTGGACCTGCAGCATCACTGAGGGCTCTAGCGCAAGGGTTTCTGCTCAGATCAAGGTTCGAAGCCACTGTGTTAACTACGGCATGGGCCTGAAGCATTATAAAGAAAATACATAAATAGCGATCCTTCTTCTACAAGTAAACACGTGCAAATAACCTAGCACAAAATTGCAGATTATTTCGCCAAATCATTAATAACCAACAGCCTGACCTCATCATTTTTTTTTCGAGAAGGAGTATTGCTACCAGATAGCTATGTTGCATCACTAAGTTGTATAACCGCTTTATACGTCCAAACTACAGCCAGAACAACACTCGTTGTCTTAGATATAAAAGACGAGAATGTGCCACCTTTGCTCTAAAAGTTATCAGCACTCGGTTAGTAAAAAAATGTCGTTACATTTCGAGTCGTTYAACATGGAGGGTGACAAGTTTAACA